TCACACGGCAAATAAAACTGACCTCCATCCTGTATGAGGGGTTGTGTTCCCTGTTTAATATAATCCAAACAGACAGAAATGGGCAGCAAAGCTCCCAATAACTGCTTACAAAAACACAAACCAAACCAAACCAAAAAACATGGGCTGCGCAGAACTCTATCTAGCATGGCCTCCATGGTTCATGGCTCTTCGTTAGTGTGTGCAGGCCCATGATGGTTCTCTCTCCCATGACTGGATTGTGTGCTAGAAGAGAGATGGGGATTCCCGCACAATAGAAGGAAAGGAGCATCTAGAGATAAAAGAATGGCCATGGAATTAAAGGGATCATTTGTTTGTATGTGGAAGACCTGTAAGTACCCACCAAAGGAATATGAGATACAGCCTACTGCTCTTGCCTGTCAGGGCTCTTGATGGTCCCAGGTTGTCAGTGATGGTAGAAAGTCACCAGTTTAAGCTACCGAGCATGCTAAGTCCCCTCCCCATCACCATGCAAAAAGATCTACAGTTCAGGTGTAGTGTCTTGCTGGGTTTGAACAAGTAAGCGGCCTGGCTGTGAGAGGGTAGCTTCCAAAACCCAAGAGAAACTATTGGTGACAGCTGAGAAGAAAACAGGGACCTTCGCCCTCCATTGGTGAAGCTCTGTATGAATCTGGGGTACAGCCCTGAGTACCGAATGACAACGCGAGCTAGCGGGCACCCTGATTTCCCTGCATAGGAGAGTGTCTGAGCAACCCCGTGGCAGGTTGGCATGGAGCATGTGTCTTGTGGGAGACAGTTTGCGGTGCTCTGATCTTCTGCAGGTACCTGTGGCTATCTCTTGGTTACTGGGAAATCCTGCAAGGCATAGCGGAGGAGGGAGAGCATGCTGAGTTTCTTGGTGACTTTCAGGGTGAACCTGGAGCCTGGATCTCAGGAGCAGACATGCCCCCATCTTCCATGGCCCTTTGCCGCAGTTCACTTTGGTCTTCAATCTTCAGCGGTGTCAACGCTTTGCATCTCTAACTAAACACAGCTCACTCGTCCTCCTTGAAATCCCGACGGTCGCTTTCAAATACTCTATAAAATAAAGTAACCATGTGCGGTGGCTGTTCTTGGTTGTCAGCTTGATTATATCTGGAATGAACTAAAAACCCAAATGACTGGGCATACCTGTGAGGTTTTTTTTTCTTGCCTTAATTAAATTATTTAAAGTGTGAAGTCCCACTTCTAAGATGGATCCCTTAGGTGAGAAGATAAACCTTAGTCTGGCCCACGCCTTCTGCTGGCAGCTTATCTAAAGAACATGGGAGAAGGAAGCTTGCTCTCACTCACCCTAACTCTGTACTTGGGCAAGGACGACCATAAAGATGTCATGTTTTGGTGTGCAGGCTACAAACAAATTGTGGTGAAGAGGTAAACTCACAAATATGAATCTGTGAATAAGGAGGCTCTCCCAGACTTCTTGGGTCCTTTGAGGATGCATCTTTAGGAAGGCTGGAAGGGAATGGATTATGAAAAGTGATCCTGTCCATGGCTGAAGGTTTGCTGTGGCCAAGCCTGAGGTGAGCAGGTTATATTTGCTGGTGTTTGCTGACGAAAACCCAACAAAGCAGAAAAGCTTAGACACAAAGGACCAATGTTATGCCAGGTTCATGGGACCCTCAGAGACCACCAGGAGACAACTTGATGCAATTGCAAGAGAGCTTTATTACGAGAGTGATCAAACTCGGGACCCAAGTCTCACTAACGCAGCAGTAGAGAAGTGGGACCCAGAGCTCTGAGTGAGCAGGATTTTTAAAGGGAAAGTCTGTGAGTAGGGGGTTTCCATGGCAGCAAGCAGGGGGGCACAAGTCTTGGCATTACAGAATTGGGTGAAGTTTAGCAGGGTGGGTTGACCTTTTCTGAGGCACACAATCACAATGGCTAAGGCATATAATCACAATGGCTATTTTTCTAAACCATATCTGAAACATTGGGAAGAATTACCCACCGATTCTCAACCGATTCCCATTGATTATTGCCAGGGAGTTTGTCTCTATTTTCTATGAAGCATTTATTCTGTTATATTTCCTGGAGGCTGTAGCTAGGAGAGTTAACTTTGTTTTCTGCCAGGTGTGCATTCTGTGATATTTCCTGGTACCTGAATTCAGTTCCCAGTCAAGATCTTTATTTCAAAATGGAGTTATATTCTGGCTAACTTAAACTCTTCACCCACACACTCGGCTCTGTGCGTCCCAGTTTGTAAACCAGGAACAGTAAGATGCACACTTCCTGTGAAGACAAGAAGTGGCCAGATGGAACCAGAATTCCTGTGTTCTCTTGAAGCTGCTTGATGCTGAGGGCCATGAACTGCTGGGAGAGTGCTTCCTGCCCAGCCCTGGTTTCCAGTCTGTTTGCACCACTGCCTCTAAGTTCTCTGCCTCTTGGCCAGAAGTACTAGAAGGTCTCCACAGTAATTCTAGAACTGTGCCTGGGCTCTAAGGTGGGCTTGAAGCAGAGAAGTCCAGATATGCTGTGGCCTGGTGCCAACACAGACCTGCACTCCTGCAGCAGCACAGCCTGGGGTGGATCTGCCTAGCTGCGGCTGCTTAACAGAGCTCTTCCCTGCCCCCACCCCCAACCACTTGCCCTTGCTCCTGCATGAAACCTGCTCCAGGGGGTTGGAAAGGATTTAGGGTTGTGTGGAAGTCCTATTTGGAGGTGGATCACTGGCTTCTAGTGAAGGGACAGTGCTCCAGGTAAAACTGGGGTGAAGGTGTCCATCTCTGCCAAGGCCGGCATGATGTCTGGGATTTCATGTTTTATAGGAACAGCTATAAGCTCATTGATACAACAGAAACACTTTATAAGATAAAACAAGTAATGTGATATTAAGCCTCTGGACAACTAGAATTGGAAAATTCTCTACATTTTGTAAAATAATCAAAATCAGAACACTGTCAACACTGCCCCAATCTAATTTAGGCCTGGCTCGTCATTGGTCATTGAAAGTCTTAGAGTTGGTAAATTTATATAAGTAGAATTCTCTCTCCCTCTCCCCTCCACCCCATTCTTCTCTTTCTTTTCCTTTCCCCTTTTCTTGCTCCATTCCCCCATCTCTTCCTCTTCCTCATCTCCCCCTCCCACCTTTATTATTCACTGAATTTATTTTCAAAGGTTTGTTTCCCACACTCTGGATGTCTGTTAGCATCCTCTCCACAGGACTGTAAGGCTGACTATGAGAACAGCTGATGGTCACATTCTTATTCTTAGTACCCAGTGCAGAATCATCTCTTTGTAAAGAAGATCCCGGATATATAAATTCAGGAATTGGAGGGACAGTGGTGTACGGCATGGATATATTTAATTATCCAGCTGTTTCTGGGGTTAGCATGGCTTTATTATTATTTTTTTTTTAACCTGAATGGCCAAGGGAGTAGTGTTTAAAGCCCTTCAGTCCACCTGGGTTCTGACCCAGCAACCTGGCACTGTTGTAGCTGGTGTGAGAGGAGGCAGCCTAACAGGCAAGGCTGTGTTCCAGGAGAGTGTTATTCACAAACACTTGTAGTTGCAGGCTTGTAGTTTGCCCGGCCACACTGAAACCATACATATGTCAGAAGTCACCCCAAAGGCAAAAGAGGCTTTGTGGGTTTGTCAGTAGCATAGACGTCCTGTGGTGCATACCATGGGAGGAGGGGCAGAGTTCGCCACTGCAGTGCGTCCCCATGTCCCTTTGTGGGCTCACCACCCTCTGCACAGGCCCCTCTCCTGCACTGTCTGCACTCCACGCCTCTGAACTGATGCCCGTTACACGGCTGTGTTTCGTATGTAGCACATGTGTTTACTGAGCTCACATATCAATGGAACTCGCCAATTACTCACAGGCACTGTACTGGGCTATCATATAAGAGGACAAGTAAAATATTGACCCTGCTCTGGTGGAGTTGCCAGACTTGTTTGAAGTCAGAGGTACACGGCGGCTTTAAATGTAGAGGGCGGAGGCAGCCGGAGGGCAGGGGGAAACCATTTGATCCTGTTTGGGAAGAGCCGAGTGGCAATGGGAAGCCAGAAGGTGGGGACAGTGCCTAGGCTCCAGACAAGGCCATCCAGGACCCTCCATCACTCTCTCTGGCTCAGGACAGTGGGAGGAATTACACACAGAGGGTCGAGTGCGCTGGATGGTGCTAGTCTTGGAAATGAGAACTAGCTATTGGGTGTATGCTCTCACAGAACTCCTGACGGTAGTCATTAGAGTGATCACAGAGCAACAGCTGTGTAATAAATGCAGTCTGGTGACTGTTTTGCAGGGGCCTTTGCGGGTGGGTCTAGGTGGGAACGAGTTGTACACTGATTCATGGGACTATATGGCTGGCATATCGGGACATTCTGTTGAGTTGAAGCTTCCTGTCGAACCTAGCGCTGCTCTATGAAGTCAGATCTTCACAAAATTAAACACGAAGAAAAAGAGAAACTTAAAAGGGAGAAAAAGAGTAGGCAGACAGTTGGCATTGACTTTCCGTCCACAGAGATAGTGTGTCTGTTCTTACACGCGGGTGGGCCCACTTCTATCACCAACCCTGGTGTGCCACCAATACAGCTGTTTGTACACTGCCGGCTGCACAGATGTTAGAATGGGCAGAAAGCATGTGGAAGAAGTGGAGGTGGCTGTATGCGTGGGTGTCTCCGTTCACCATTGGGTGCTGCCGCTGGTGTGGCTGGACTGGAGGTGCAGGTCTGGGGCTGCCTGTGGCTCGCTTCCCAAGACCGAGCAATCAAAAGACCCCACCCAGTTTCTGAGGCTTGGCTGTACACAGCCCAAGGTGGGGACGAGCCGTACACTGATTCATGGGATCATATGCCTGGCATACGGGGACTTTCTGTGTGAGTCGAAGCTTTCTGTTGAACCTAGCGCTGCTCTACAGAGTTAAACCTACTTTGTAGCCCACCCGTTAGAGCCCCCATCCCAGAAGCCAGGGCAAGATCATCTCCATGTCTGCCAGCCTTTCCTTTGCTTAATGCAATTATTTCTTTGCTTCGAGTAGGAAAATGCCCAGATCATCAAAGAAGTGGAAGTGGACAAAGTCTCCGCCCTCTCCAGGGACCAGGTGGCAGCCATCAAGCAGCTGTGGCTGGATCCGGGAATCCAGGAGTGCTATGACAGGAGGCGGGAGTATCAGCTGTCCGACTCTGCCAAATAGTGAGTATTCAGCCCACCACAGCTGGCCACACTGCACCACAACTGCCCGGCCCCGCACTGCAGGTTAGGCTGACCTTATTCCCTGCATGGCAGAGAGGAGGCAGTGTTTTCCCGTTCCTGGCAAGACTCTTAGCCTCTTCTCCCCCATTTCTCCGTTCCCAGAGGTCCCCTGAGGTCAGCATCCACCTCTTCTCACCTAATTAAACTGGATATTCCTTTAGCAGAATTGATCTAAGTTTTGGTGCTGAAGTTGATTTAAGCAAAGAATACACTTGCCTTTCTTGCTCCTCATATCCCTCTGGAAACCACAGGCAGGCTTTGTGAAATCAGCTGCTGGTCCTCTGCTGCCCTCTTGCGACAGACATAAGCATCTGCAAGAGCAGCCCATAGGACTCTAAGCTGGCTTATTGGACCCTCTTAGGTATTTTGGATCCATAAAGCTCTAGCTTTAAACTATCACCCCATGAAAATTTCTATTGCACACTACCTTGGAGAGATCACAACACCCCCCTTTAAGAGTGTCCTAGGACTGTGTGCCATCCAGCAGGAGACTGAGCACACAGTTTGCTCCTTGGGGTTATTGCTAGTTTGTGCTTCTGTGGCTGGGGATTTTCTCCTTCCTCCACATCACTGTTCCTCCTCCCGGGACCGGAACACCACCATCAAACCACCCGATTCCCCTTACGTGCTGGCCTCCTTCTGAGCAAGCTTAGATGGGACAAAGCAGCTGCCAGGGAAGGCATCGTTACTTCCTGTGGCCTCTTACAGCTTTCCCTAGACATTTATCTCAGCCAGTGCTCAATTCAGTCCAGGCTGGCACAACTGATCCAACTACATCAGCAGAAAAGCACGACCTCAGGAAAATGAAAGAACCAGAAAGCTGTTAGATTGGAAATGGAGAGCGGAGAAAGAAAGCCTTTTAAGGAGGTAGGTAGGAGTCAGGGGTTGCTCAAAGTCAAAGCTAGTGGGCCCTCACCCAGAAGCAGCTGCTGTTACTGGCTATTTGATGGGGCTTGTGTGTTTACATCCATTTGGAGAAAGCTCACCAGAACTGCAGTTGGATTAATTTAACACAGATCTTGAAAGCAAAAGCAAGTCCACTGAGAGGCATGTCAGGGGTGGCTGTGGAAGTATACGGAGTTACTCAGAAAAATGCCATTTAATAAACCAGAGAGCTGCCAGTCTGGAGGGTGTGAATGTGGTGGCACACACAGGAATACCAGCACTGGGGAATCGGGAGCAAGGGAGCCAGAAGTTCTCAGCCATTCTCAGCCATGTGAGTTTCAGGCCAGTAGGCAACCTGGGCTAGACCCTGTATCTAAAAAGCAGAAAACAATACAATAACAATAACAACAAAACAACAACAACTTCCCCACCCCAAGTCAATGGCATAAGTTACTTGTGCATTTTGGAAGGGGCGGAGGGAGGGCCAGGCCAGTGGCCTCGGTCATCTGCTAGAAATGTCTGCATATTTAGATGTCATTTATACTGCCCAAATGAGTGCACCAGACGGTATGCTAGGGGGCTCTGTGGCAACCCACCGGCGCCCTCTAATCTCAGAAACTGCACCGTCTGCTTGTTCTAATCTGTTGGCATTTTTTTATGCTATTCTATTTGGGTTCTATCCACCACGCTTCTCCATCTCAATCATTTTCAACACCCAAGCGACAGGTAGGAGAGAAAAGGAGATCAGCAGGGAAAGGAGGACATAGACTTCCATAAGCTCCTTCTTGCTGATTAGGGACCTAAGTCCAGTCTTCATCGCCAGAATCTCCAGCAGTTCAGCAAAGCAGCAATCCAGCAACAGCAAACACAGCAGCTGGATGAACAAGCAACACCAACCAACCAATCGCCAACCAACCAACCCACCCACCCACCCACCCACTCACCAATTAATCAATCAGGCGCCCAGTCAATCACTGCAGTGGGTCCCCCTTATCCCCCATTCATTACTTTGGACCACCTTCCAGAGGCCCCAGCAGATACCCCAAGCCACAGATGATACTGTATTCTATATTTTTTCCTATATGTATGTAAGAATGATAAGGTAAGCTTATAAATTAGATACAGTAGGAGATTTACACAGACTAAAAATAAGGCAATTAGCTGGGACATGGTAAGCAAAATTTGAGCTACTTGGTTATCATCAAGGTGCTCCCCTGGCAGTTGGTGTGATACACCTGAAACTCCTACTGAGTGACCAGCGGGTGGGTAGCATATACTTCGTGGATACACACTAGAACGGGTATTTTGCACACCCAGGAACTGCAACAGATTTTATCCTGCTACCCAGAATGACACTGGATTGAAAACTCATGTATTCTTGCCCGTAGCTTTACAAAGCACAAAAACAATACAAAAAGAAAATGGACTATTTATTTCTGGTATTATTGTCCCATTTCGTAGTTTGGACCATAAATGACCATGGGTATTTGAAACCCTGGAGTGAAACACTGGATAACGGAGAAGACTACCACAAAGTAAAGTAATAAGACACGGGAGTGGGCCTCCAGTTGTGCCTTGATGCCTGTATGGTTCATCTCCAGGCTGGACTGCTAGGGTGTGCTAGAGAAAGCAGCAGAGCCTCCAGCTCTATTGCTAGCGGGGTCTTTTATAAGGATGTAAAGGAAGTAAGCAAAATTTGAAGACAGAGTTCTAGCCCTGGCTGACCTTAAACTCTCTACATAAGTTCAGCCCAACCCTGAACTTTGGATCCTCCTCCCTTTCCTCCTGGGTGTTGGGATTGCAGACATGTGCTGGGGATTAAATCCCGCCCTGTGTGCATTCCGGGCAAGCACTCTAATAACAACTGGACTATACTGCCTTGCCTGTGGTGTTTTTTTAAAAATTCTTTCATTTGACTTTAGGAAAAAAAAATAGATGTATTTTAAAGTGAGAACTTTAATACATAGTTCCAAATAACATGAGACAAATTTGGGATTAATTTTTTTAGATGTCTCATTTAACAGGAAACTTCACAGGAAAACGTTATTTTGAGGGAACTTTTCCATGGCCTACTGGCCATCTGTGTATTTTCTTAGACGCTGCTCTTAATTCACTACTAATCAGTGCCTCCAGAGAACTGTGTCTACATGATGTAATGTTTTTGGGTGAATGCAAGTGGGCAGGTCCTTTGGCCACCCAAAGGGTCCAGGGTCATTCCCCACTTCTTTGGCTACTCGCCTGGTGCTTCCCTCATCATCACATAGATGATGCCACTGAGAAACTGCATTCTCAGGAGGCTCACAAACGTGCTTCTGAGTCCTGGTCCCTTCAGAACCGTCTCAGAAGGATAGAAAGGCCTGGCATAGTCACCTCTGGGTGTCACTGCTGGCCTCCGTGTCTTATGGGGGCCCTGTGGTCAGAGAGGACTTCCCCTGAGCAAGGAAGGAGGTTTTTCCCTTCTCAAAATGGTGGAGCCTCAGCATCTCGACTCTTTAATGCCACAGTTACCTGACTGACATTGACCGAATCGCCATGCCCTCTTTCGTGCCAACGCAACAGGATGTGCTTCGTGTCCGAGTGCCCACCACCGGCATCATAGAATACCCATTTGACTTGGAAAACATCATCTTCCGGTAAGTCTGTCTCCCGAGTCCTTTAAGGATCCGTCTGTTCAGGGGGCACGTCTGGAGGCGGGGTCTCAGGTGTGCAGCTCCTACGCAGCAGCTCTTAGGCGGGGATAACATTCTGCGGTCTCAGGCGCCACAACAGAGGGACTGCGGGGCTCTTCCTGCCGGGTAGGAGCCTTCGTGTGTGTTGTCACACAGATGGCCGCTCCCGGGACCACACAGTCTCCTGATGTCTTTTCTCTCTTTGCCTTGTCTGAGATTTATCCTTAGAGAAAAGATCTCCATAGATCTTTACTGAACTTTGTACAGGTAAATAGTAAGAGAGGGCATTTACAAAGCAATGGAAATTTCAAGGCACTTCTAAAAACGATTTTGTGTATGTGTGTGCGCCTCAGTGCACATGCGTGTGCGACGGTGTGTGCAAGAGCCCGTGGAGAAAATGAGGGCATCTGAAGCCCGGGACTGGAGTTACAGGCAGTAGTGAGCCACATCTGGGTCCTGGGTGCTGAACCCAGGTCCTTTGCAAGAGCAATGACCTTTTAACCAAGGAGCCACCTCTCTAACACCTCAAAACTCTTGCATGTCTATTATTCCCCTTCTTGAAGATGATCATTTTGCACATTGTAGCCCTCCCGGGTCGAATCGATATTGACACGATTCTGTTCTAGCACTCTTCAGTGCTAGAACCCAGAAGGGAGTGGGGAAAAAATACTCTCTGCATCTATGTATGTCCAATTTAATGCACAGCCTCTCCCGAGCGAGCGGACCTATGGATTTAAACGGTTTCAACCTCGAAGGCTGCCTGAAACCTCCCACACACCTCAGAACGAGTTTGCCCAAGCTTTGGTGAACAGGTTTTCGAAACCTTTCCAGAGCCTTAGGACTGGGTTTGACATCACCGGCTTGCAGCTTGATGGCACTCCCCAGTATGAAGGATTCTGATGTTTGAAGTTGAGGTCTTTGTAGAATGTCTTCAGGCCGAGGTCTCTTGATATTTGCGCTCTCTCTCCTAGCTCCATACCTCTCTGCCACTCGAGGCAAACAGCACACATAGCATTGCAGCCAAATCTGCTCCCCTAAAACCTGGCGCCTTTCCAGACAGCAGTCACGGGAGCCTCAGTGAGCCTGTGGACCATCTGAACATCCTGGTTTGGGGTCTTCAGAAATTGGAGTGTGGATGGGGCGAGGTCTGGGAGAAGTAGGTGTGACCTGGAAGTGTATGTGCTCTGTCTAACCCATATAGTCTGCCATGGTGTTAGAAAAAAAAATATTTGTGCTAACACTTAAAAATAGACGTTTTACCTAAAACTTACTGGTTTTCCCTAAACTATCCACAGACCTGGTAATAGTGAGCCTGCATTTTGTGTAGTAGTGGGCCTCGGTGACATGACAGCTATTCCTTCAGACGGGGTTCCAGGGGACTCATAATAGTGCTTAGGACTTTACGTCAGCAGTCCCTGGGCTGCACCCTTGAAAGAGCTCCCAGATTCAGGTAAAGTCTTTGGAGTTTCATACCGAGCAGAGGACAGACGCAGATGGAAAGAAGGGGCGGTATACAGCTAGTACAGACAGGATCTGTGGATAAATGAGATGAACCAGGGAGCCAGGACTAGTTTGGAGGGGCCGATCACAGGGTGGCTGGGTGGTTAAGAGAGTTCAGTTGCCAGCACCCACGTTGAATGGCTCGCAGCTGCCTGTAAGTCTAGCTGCAGAAATCCAGTGACCTCTTTTGGCCTCCAGGGCATCTGCATTCATGAGTGTGACAACGCGCACACTCAAACTCAAAGGTGTAAAAAAAAAAAATACAAATTATACGTTTAAATATAGGATCTGAGAAAGCAGAGGTACCAGGAAGATGGCTTGCCTTTGTCCCTTCTGTGTCCTAGGACCTTGTTTGGGCGGTTGGAGTTAAGCCCAAGTGGATGCTGGCATTTTGTCCAGGATGACTGCAGCAGGTTCTAACCCAGTATCTCCAGGCAGGCTCCATCTGACCCCTTTGCTTGGAAACCACCAATGTCCTCTACTGCCTGAGGCAGCACGATTCTAACACATTAACATTAAGAGCCTCTTCCCTCTCAGAATCCCTGAGGGCCTCAGAGGGCACTAACTCCATGGTATAATGGCTTGTGTCCTTTCCCTGGAGCTGTGCATTCCAACCGTTGACTGTCCACCTTTGTTGAGCAGAATGGTGGATGTTGGTGGCCAGCGATCTGAACGGCGGAAATGGATTCACTGCTTTGAGAGCGTCACATCCATCATTTTCTTGGTTGCTCTGAGTGAATATGACCAGGTTCTGGCTGAGTGTGACAATGAGGTATGTTTGAGGGTAAAGAACTTAAGAGGTATGCTCGTGGGGTGGAGACTGAGGAAGACAGTCCTATTTCTGCAATTTTCAAGAATCGTAGAGTCCGGGGACTGGGTCAGGAGAGCTCAGTTTACCGAGTCAGCCCCTAGAAACCGTGTAAAAACCCAAGCTGCACACAAAGCTGCGATTCTTACTGCTGGTGGCATGTTGGAAACATCCTGCCTTTTGGGCTCTGGGCTATAATTACGTTTACCGGGTTCCAAGTCCCTTCAGAGACCCTAATACATACAATCAGTCTAACAGTTCCCCCCCCAACCCACCCCTTTCAAGACTGGGTCTCACGTAGCCTAAGCTGGCCTCACTCACACTGGCTGTAAAGCAAAGGGTAACCTTCAGCTTCTGATCCTCCAGCCTTATACTACCTCCTACGTGCTGTGCCACTGTACGGATTGAACTCAGGGCCTCCTCATGCTAGGCATCCCCAGCCCGAGTGATACTGTTTCTAATAGATGCCATCTGAGCAGTCCTCAGCCTCCAGAGAATGGCACTCCAAACTAGGTTCCCAGTGAAGTGGTCAGGGCAGAGGTTCCCAGTGCATGGAGCAGTTCAGGAGGTACCAGAGATGGCGTCTGTCCTTACTCCCCTGAAAGGGTCTTACTCAGAGCATCTGGACCTGATCCAGACCAGACAGGTGCTGTGCCTCCTACAAAGCTGCAAGGTGCTGACTGGGTCTCGTTATGTTAGATGCTCTAACAGAGAGCGACCAGGACTGTTAGTCACTTTGTGAGGTTGTTTTCTGAGGGATACCAATGTCCTCCTAATGGGCTTGCCCTCTGCATGTAAGCAAGAATTCCTGGCTCCTGTTACAAGGACATAAATGTGAATCATCAGTGCCCTGCCCAGGATCAGGTGGTGGCCCAGGGACAAACCATATCTTGTATCTCTTGAGTGAAGGCTTAATACTGTGCTTTAGAGAATCTTTAGAAGTGGATGAGTTGCTTCTCTGAGAACACTTTCTGGACCCCAGACTTCAGAGTGGGAAAATGCGCAGGTGTGGGCAAAGGGCATATCCCTTTGGAGCACATGTTGAGCTTTGATGTTTTTTTTTTTTACAGTTGCTTGCTTCTCTAAAGGAGAAAGGTCCTGCCTTTTTCCTCTTAGAAATACTTCAGAGAAAATGCTGTGTAGAAGAGTAGTTGTCACAAGATACGATTTGTTTCTGAGTTATTTGGCTCCTGGAATGTGAGAGCTTTCGGCATTTCCTTTGATGTGTGTTGTTTAAAAGTACTGTCTGTAAGCACAGCGCCACCGGGCTCACTTCTCTATGGGTCTGGAAAGGTTAAAGTTTTGGAATGCTATGTTCATCCAGCAAACTGGGACAACATGCCACTTGTACGGCACGGCGACAGTGCTCTGCCATGTTAGTTCCCTTCCTACCCGAGTGTGGCATGCCTCCCTCGGGGGTGTGGTCCTCCTGGAAGAGCTTTCTCCCCTCCTGTGCTCCAGTACACCTGAGGTGGTGCTCAGCACACACCCACCTGGGGCTGGTGTCTCACCACCTGGTAATCAGTTACAGAAAACAAACACCTTTTCCAGCTATATAAACTTTCTGTTCCAAGTTACATAAAAAGCCTTGTTTAGGGCAAGAGTTAGAGTGCTCCAAAGAGGAGCAGAAAGGCCCAGAAAGAGTCAAGGAGTTGGGTGAGAGAGGGGGCAGATAGAAGCAGGTGTGGTTTGTGCTTTCCGTCATAAGAGCAGTGACCCAAAGGGCAGAGAGGACTGATGGGTGCACGCAGATACTTTGCATGCTGTCTCCAAGTCTTGCTTTTCTTCCTCGCTTATCCTAACTTCCTGTTTCTCACTAGAACCGTATGGAAGAGAGCAAAGCCTTGTTTAAAACCATCATCACCTACCCTTGGTTTCTGAACTCATCTGTGATTTTGTTTCTAAACAAGAAGGATCTTTTGGAAGAGAAGATCATGTACTCTCATCTAATTAGCTATTTCCCAGAATACACAGGTAAGTATTCATTTTGGGAAACAGTGTTTTCACATCAACCTTGTTGACCTCCTCTTCTCTAGCATCAGTCTCTGGTCTTCACCATGGCTTTCTGGGGCCCTCCTGAAGGGCTCTCACTTTCCCAGTTCAAATCACAGTTCTTGTTACTCTGCTCATGTTTCACCTGTCACTGCAAGGGCCTGAATGCACTTGCCAACACATTTGGCTGACTCCACCTGGCTGGTCAGGCCCCATCTCAGGCACCTCCCCTAGGAAAACCCTTGGACCTTCCTGTCTACAGCTTGCATTTGTGTCGCCCCATTTCTGTTGCCCTGGCAGCCTGGTCATTCTGCTGAGGAGTCTTGTCTGCATACACATTCATTCAGTTTTCCCTGGCAACTGGAGCAGAGCTGGCTCTGGCAGCTTCCGTCAGAACACGTGCTGCTATGTGGGGTTACCGGGTGGCATCTTAGACATGGTGGGGGGGGGTGTTGAAGTCTTGAATGTATGTAGCATGCTCAAGGCAGGACAGTTCCCTTGCTAATCACTCCTGGCACAAGAGGTCTCAAATAATGTGCTCTTGACATTCATTGATATTTCCACGTTGATGTTTCAGCAATAAACCCCCTCCCCTTTGATTAAATACTCTGGTAGTATAGTTCAGAACTGTCAAGCTTTAAAACCAATCTAGCAACACTAGTTTTGGCATCACAACCCCTGCCCTCCAGTCCACGGCCGCCTGTCTGTAAAAGCATCATTTCAAAAGTGGCTAGGAAAACAAAACTAGGCCACCAGGCCACTATTTTTAGATAAACCACTTTACAGTACAATTTTTAGCTATACCAGTAGACACTTTAAAAAGACCAAATATTGGGCTAGGGAATGGCTCAGTTGGTAAAAAGACCAGAACCCACCTTAAAAAAGCCAAGCATGACAGTAAGGACTTGTAATCACAGAGCGGGGTGGGGGGGGGGGGACAGTAGGTCCCTGGGATTTGCTGGCCAGTCAGTTGCGTCTAGTTGGTGAGCTGTAAGCTAATGAAAAACCCTATCAATAGAGGTGCATGGCATTCCTGAGAATAACATGAAACTGTTCTCTGGTCACATGCACGTACACATACAAACAGACACCATAAAATGGAAAGTATTCTTGGAATACTATTTTATGGATTAATAATGCAATGTAATACCTACTCTAGGTAAACTTTCCTTAGATATAAAGTAAGTCTGATAAAGAAGTATGTAAGTCTGATAAAGAAATATCCCAAATAAGAATGAAAATACATTAAAAATGGACTGAGAGAGGACATGGTGGTGAGTCTGTATCTTTCCCCATTCCTCTCATGACCAGGACCAAAGCAAGATGTCAAGGCTGCCAGGGACTTTATACTGAAGCTGTATCAAGACCAGAACCCTGACAAAGAGAAGGTCATCTACTCCCACTTCACATGTGCAACAGACACGGAGAACATTCGATTTGTGTTTGCTGCCGTCAAAGACACCATCCTGCAGCTGAACCTACGGGAGTTCAACTTGGTGTAAGTGCCGTGGCCCGCTCTCCTGAGACAGAGGGGGATCCGAGTTCTTCCTGCCTGATCTACAAGTGCTTCTGACCGGCTGGGCCAGGATCCACGGACATTATGTAGCTCACAGGAACAGAGATGGATAGTGCAACTAGAAAGATATTTGTTTTACCAACCCTTTCTAAGTGTCTAATTCTCGACTGTCTAATTCTTTTCCTTACCTTTTGGCTGTAAAGTTTCACTATAATTTTTGAGTTTGGTATTTTACAGAATTTTAAAAGGCCACTGTGATTTTTCCATTATTTTTTAAACTAAGTGTTCAATAGCTATTAAAAAATCATGTAACAGGGGGACTTGTTAATTTATAGATCATGCCTTCAGACCTCTAGGATTAATTTAGATGACTAAAACATCTTAATAGGCTTGAAGATTTTTAAATAAATACTAAGAAACATTTCTAATATCCTTCCCCTTAATTCTGATGAGTGACTCATTTAACATTTGACCAAACAACCAAAGACCTCTTTCTATATCCCCCCCCCCCTTTTTGGTTGTTATTTTAAAAAATAACAAATAGGTGGGCTTTCAATTCAGATTTGTCATGTAACCTAGGATGGGCTTGGTCCTCCTGCCTGGACTTTCCAGGTGTATTTTGGAACTGTGGGTGGTGCCACAATGCTCAGCCAAGAATTTTTTCTTTTCTGAGACAGGGCCTCATGTATTCCATGCTGGTCTCACACATACTATGCAGCAGAGGATGACCTTGAACTTCTGTCTTCATATACACAACCTATTTAAGGCACCTTATTGCTAACTCTTGGCATAAGACGCCCCAAATAGTATCATTTGACACTGACATTTCCAGGTTAATGCTGAGATGCATGTGCCACCATGACCAGTTTATGTGATGCTTGGGATGGAACCCGGCGCTTTGTGCATGTTAGGCAAGCACTCTGCGCCCACTGAGCTACACCCCCAGCCAAAGATTGCTTTAAAAAGAGTTCTTTTCAGTGTCAACTTTCTAAGCCAAATATTACCCAAACATCTGATTTGGCCATAATTTGGTGGTAAAGTCAATGCTGAGATATGATAAATGGACTCTAGTTAGTGCATGTGTGTATTCTAATGCATAAGGCCAGGTCTTGTAACTTATGGAATGGCGAAAGCATAACTCATTTAACAAATGTTATGTAAACCTTACCAAAACTCTGATGGCAATCACAAATCTGTTGTTTGGACTGTGTATGCTGTGCCTTTCTGGATATTAAGAATACACTGTTCTACTGTGTGAACTGATGAGATGTGTTCCTTAGAGTTCATGGCTGATGATTCTGTTCAAAAGAAAAATAGTGCATGCAGCCTTGACAATCCAGCAGCTTCCCTGCTTCCTCCTTTTTCAAGTCTTCATTTATCACGGTGTGCTGGAGCTCCTTAATGGCTGGCTCAGTATGCACTGCAGACCCAGATCCCGGGAAGGAGCTTCATATTCAAGGACTCTGGTAGCTTGGTCTGTTATGCTTACTAGGAGGTATGTGTGCGCTTAGGGACTTGGGATGTATCTACCTCTCATCAATCTTCAAAGGGTCTCCCACTTAAAATGGTTTAGTTTTTAAAATAGAAAATGGCATATATCCAGTAGAAACTGTGCTTTGAATAATGATCCTTTCTCAGGCTAACAATTTTTGGCATTGTACTCTTGAGATGATGGATAGTTGCAAGGTGCAGCTTCCAGTCAGCAATATAACCATGAGGGGAAGAAATAACCTCTCTGTCGTGCACCAATGGAATGGATGTTCCGGAGAGTCAGCATGATGTGTGTACTTTCAGCTTCAGTGCTTTCAGTCAGCGGTTTTACTTGGTTAAGTCTATGGAACACTTAGACTGGCTGCATTTGTTGCAGAGCCACATGTCCGAATTCCTAGAGCTGAACTAAGCCTTTCTTTCACCCTGTTTCCGGACCTCCAGATTGTCAATTTACTGCAACAATTCCAAGTCTGAAATGATTCTAACCAAGTATCGTTATGTTTTAAAAGCCAATCTTTATTCAAGGCATGAAGAACTGGGAAAATGGATATTAAATTTTACTTGAAACAATCAGTCATCACGACAAAGACAAGCAGCTCTTCATGTTATTTAAAGTCATAGAAAACATTCACTTTGTGACCCCTTCCTATCAGATACCACGGCTAAAGGTAATTAACTGGGTCTCATTAACCAATTAATCTCAAAAAAAAAGCATACCAATCAGAATTAAGGATGTTAAGTAATGTGGAGTTCTTTTTTCAAGTAATTCCTAGCACTAAGCTACTGACAATTTAACCTTTGGCTGACATACAAAAAAAATGCCTTTCATGACAAGAGTTGTTCAATAAATCAAAATTTGGTAACAAATACTTTTTAGTTACAGCAAAGCTAAACTCTACCAATCAGAGTTAAGTTAGTAATTTCTGTCAATATTGTTTGTAGAAATTCTCTCTTAGCCTTTCTTTGAACGTATACTCACCAACTGCTAAAAAACTTAGCCAGCTGACGTTGGTAGCTGACTTCACCAACTATTCCCTCAAGCTTTAAGTCAATGCTGAGCATGCTTGGCTAGAAGGCTGTCCACTTCAGCTTGAAAAGTCAGGACACTGATCTCTTGGAGTTAGTTAGGCCCCCAAGAAGACAGATTTTAGACAGGCAGGAGAAGGCGAATGTTCCTGGTTTTATTCAATAACAACGAGAAAAGACTGAAGACCAGAAAGCTTTATTGGACTTACATATGGTTAAACGGGGCAGTCATCTTAGCATGCGATCCAACTCTGTCCCCTCCAGGAAATAAGTACAACTGATAGGATCTCCAACCAAATTTTAGAAAAAGACTAAGATTAGTTTTAAGAGTAAGAACTGTACTAGAAATGCCTGTTAATAGACTATATCAAAATATACAAAACTAAGGCAGTCACTGTGTAATATGTAATTAAGTCATGTTTACATACAAGAGATACTAGGAATAGAAAAGTGAAGAAGATATAGAAACAATGCAGAAATAGATACTAAAAAAAAGGGGGGGCATGTTTTTACCAAATAATAAACATGTCAAAGAAGTGCAGGCTATTCAGTCAGTATAAAAATAGTTAAGATACTTGTCTGGATATTTCATAAAAATGCAACGTTACAATTAAAAAGCTAGGAAAAGGTACTTTTAAAGTACATCTTCTCTGGCAATTTTGTTAACTGTAATACACCCATATAGAGGGATGACCATTAAAAAATTTATAGACGCATGTTCTAAGAAGTCCCCAATACAATTTGTAATTATTGGTGGGCATGAGTGTATTGTCATTGATATTTAGAATATTCTATCATAAGCTATAGCATAAATGTTTCTGAAATGCTTTTCAGCCCAAATACTGGTGACTTTTGGACAGTCAATTATACAACAGTGGTATGAGGATATCATAAGAAAGACTGAAGCTTTCATCATGCTTTGCGTTAGATAATACTTTTAATCATTAGACACTTTTATTTAACAATCTTTTACAAAGATTTTACTAGAAGGAAAACACTGATGTCACAGAAATATGTTCCCTGACAAAGAGTCTAAATCAAGGCAATCTGATAGACCACAGTAGGTGTTAAACAACTCAAACATATTTTGTACAAAGGATTTAATTTTGAAAAAATATTCATATCAATCTATAAAATGTGAAGATGTGTCAAGCTTTGGATAACCCGGATTTTCCTCTTTTAAAGAATGCTAAAATGCTTTAAAAAAAACCCTATAATGCTAAAGTAAAAATATTTTTAATGACATGAGATAATTTACTAAAGAAGCAATAAAGTAAAAAGGTTTCAAATCAAGACACATTAGTGGGGTTTCTGAAAATGCAGCCCCTTTCATTTAGCAAGGCACCACTTTCTAGGTCAGTGGGAAAGTCATGCTAGTGGGTAAAATGCTCACATTGCCACAATACATAGTTCATAAGAAGCACAGTTTAGCCAACTAGTGTAAACTTAGTCAGTTAGCATTAACAATGAAGTATAAACTTCCAAAAATATATTCACATGACCAGGCAGAGGGTGAGGGATTCCTTTCTAGATGGAGAAGTGATATGTGATTCTGTGGCACACCAAAGGAAATGAGACTGATGAGTTCTGAGGACACACGGTATTTTTAGTTAAAAGGTACTGATGTTTGTATGGCACTCTCAGCAAGGGACTGTTCTGGTCCTACAATAACATTGCCTACACAGCTCGCTACCCATTTTTAAGGATCTCTGCCACCTGTATGATGAGCCAGAGATAAAAGACTACTGAATCAAACATGTAACTGTAAATTATAAAATGTTATGCTAATGCTTCATCTAGTGGTTAAGGTTTCTAGTTTTCATTGGTGTTTAGACAGATATTTCCTAAAACAATCTGTGTCTTCTACTGCATAGTCAGAGAGAGTGATGGGCACATGATTCATAAAGAACAAGAGCTATTTCTTGGTTTTTATTGATACAGGAATGAGGATAGGCACGTGAGCACTAGTAATAAAACCCATTCTACTGGCCACCAGAAGACTGGGTAGGCTAACTTTTACTTTTGCATTTTTACCATGGCATACATGGGGAGTTATGAATCAAATCTGTCTGAATTCATGAAAGAAATAATCAATGAAGTATTTAACTCCTGGCAGTGCCTGGGATGCAAGGAAAATAACGTTCCAGATGAGGAGGTGATACCATTTTCTCTTCACAGGTTTAATCTGAAAACTTGGAGGGGCTCAGCAACAGAGAAACCTTGTACCTTGCCTTGAAGAAAGGTCATCTTGGGGATATACAACTACAACAATTTGAGATGTGTCATTTTTTGAGTCAACTTGTATTTAGCAGAAAATCATTCCGGGGCTGTTACCAATAGTAGCGGGTTGTGGGCAGCAATGGCAGTTATAGTCTGACATGCTGGTCAGTCCAGCTTTTACAGCAAAGCAGGGGTTTGGCAAGCCTGCAGATTAAACACCCAGTAACCAAACAGACTCTGCAAGTTCAACACCAGTTTTTAACAAGTTGGTACACATACAGTATACATTAAACACTGTATTATTCAATAACCGATTAATATATTCTGTTTATAGTTCACAATTGGACAGTCATTCCGTTTCACTTTAAATAGTCCATTAATAGTAAAGAGCAAAGATCTTGGACAAAAACCAAAGGGGTAAAAACTGTAGCCTTATTTTTCTATTATGATGGAGCTCATAATTTTTGTAGTGATTAGCCTATACATTTAAACAAGTGTTTCTTGCCTGAATAACTACAGCGTAAACAAACCTAAAACTCTTAACCCAAAGCAATAGCGTAGGTTACTGGTTAGATTTCAGGGTTTTCACTCTGACTCAGGAGAGGAGCTCTTCATTCTAGAGCAGAACTCATTGTAGCTAAGATGTTGGAAAGTGTTTTTCTTTTTTTGTATTTTTAAATCCCTATTACCAGTCAACAGATGGTAACTATTATTAAGGCTTTAGATTTTTACTTTGAAAAGTGTCTATTAAAAACACAAACTGTGCAAGTTCACAGAGTTCTCCTGAGGAAGTATTTCTAAGGCTCTGAAGGGCTTTACCTTTTTGGGTATGATACTCATTTGTAAAGCCTTTCTTAAATCTGTGGTCCAAGGGGTATTATGTCCAATCTCAAAAAAATTGTTTTGGTAGTTATAGTATGTATTTTAGTATAATCCAAATCATTTGTTTAAAAAAGTAAGGAAAATACCAAAACATTTATTTGTAAAAAGAACTTCATGATTCTGAAGAAATTACCACAGTTTTCTTGTCACTGCCGAGGCAGTACTTAATTTGATCATTCTCCACCACTTCAGGAGGTGAAGCAACTATGAGAGACGTTTAAAATGTTACCTGGGAAAACTACATTTTGTTTGATAAGACTATGAGCAATCTCTTCCACTACTGATATCCTGAAGGAACTATTTCTTTTCATCAAACATTAAAAGTCATAACCAGATACATGATTTGGTTTAGGAAACTGAATGGGCCTTCTAGTACTTTAATCACACAGCTGGTTTACCCGACTGATTCTGTTTTTTTAAAGCATCTAAAGCCACAGGATCCCTGAAAAGACTCTTACTCTCCACAGGAGTTATAAGGTACAACATGGGAACTGTAGTAACGGATTCCTGTGCATCCAAGCAGCATTCCCTCTTCATAGGCTTGGGGATGGTTCTCTTGCTTCTTCCAGCTTTGCAAGGATCCACTGTAGGGGACAAATAAAACAACATTTTCGAATGTCAATGAACTTGTGATAAAACAAAATGAATGGAAATCTAAAAGCTACCATTACGTTTAGACATAAATTGATAACCAATAGTTAACCTGCTATAGAAGAAAACATGGACACAGGCCTGAGTTAAGAGCAGTGATATTTCTGTAAGGTCCTTGGAACTGCCCTCATGAGATAAGGAAATCAGGTGAGACCAGACCACTGTGCCTGCTTACTAAGTCAGGAACCAAAAGAACATTGAAGAAGGAAGGTGAGAGCTGCCCCATACCACACTGCACCTCAACTTCAAGTAACTTGGCACGAAAAGCTGCCTCTGACTCAGGGACAAGAGTCAATCAAGCATAGGTCTAAGACCTGAAACCCAGAAATGCCACAGTTAAACACTGAAGTGCCATGATCACATATGAAAGGCTAACTCCTGGTCACTGGGCCAAAGGCAGTATGGCTGATTATTATAACCAACTTCTGGCAGGAGAACACTGTGCAAGATTTACCGCCTGTTGGGGAGCAGCATACAGGCTAGAACAAGACTCTCGTGACAGATTTGGTACTCGGCAGAATCTCAAGTTCCACATGGGCTGCATTAATATCTTACCTGTGCATAATTACATGGATTGTAAATGGATTAAACACTCCAACTAAAATAAAATGTGACTGACTGGATTAAGAACCCATACAGCCCTAAACCAACTCTAACATGTGATTTATAAGAAATACATTCATCTCCAAGGGCATATATGAATTAACAGTGAAGGGACTGAATAAGATATTTCATGCAAATGGAAAAAAATCAGGAGTAGCCATACTTACAGAAAATGAATTTAGATCAAAAGTTGTAGAAGGAGACAAGAATGTGATGCAAAGCAACATGGACACATAGAATAAACCACTTATCACTGTATTTTAAGAAACTAGAAAAACAAGAACTACTTTTCACTGTATATTAAGAAACAAGGAAAACAGAATGACAGGGAGACAAAACAACAATGAAGTCCTTGTTCTTTGAGAAGATAAACAAATTAGACAAAGCTTTTGGCTAGAGTCAAAAGAGGACTCAGAACCTGAAATGACATTATACAATGACACCACAGAGATGAGGACTGTGAGAGGTTATTAGGTTATGTGCCAAAAGTGATGATCAAGAAGATATAAACAAAATTCTAGATGCATGCATCTTACCAAGGCTGAATAACACACACACAAAAACCCAGAAAACATAGCCCAATAACAATTAAAATAATTGAATCAGTAATAAAGTTTCCCTCAAAAAAGAAAGAAAGAAAGAACACACACAGCATTTTCTGTCTTTTTGTCCCAAGGCTATATGTATTAACACTTCAGTGTTTTATTCCTGTTTCTTCTTGGTAATTCATTACCCCTTATGATTAGCATGCCAATATTGCCTTTAATCACAACACTTTGATAGAAATTACATAGCATGTTCTAACTGGTCCAAGATACATAGGAGGCGAACCATCAGGCTCTAGATGTAACAAGTGAATTGGTAGATAATATTGGATAGAAAATGTAGTAAGAAGTCAGAAGGTCAGTATTTGTTCTGATTCTGGGCACAGTGATAAGTGAAAGGTCCAGTGCTCTTAAAGTGAGTTATCCCAAATAGTACGATGCTGTGTCCATAACAGTGTCTTTACAAACTGATTAATGTGACATCAGTTTATATGCTTCATTTTCTTGTGATTGTCATAATCTTCAAAGCATCATATAGTCCCTTTCAGTTCAGACCTCCCCCATTTTAAGGAAACTGAGCTTAATGTACTTCCCTCAAAATTGTTCTGGCAAGCAAGAGAGGAAATACTGAAACCTAGCTTTTTTGCCTATAGGCTGGCTTCACTTCCCTGTATAATTAATGGTTTCTTACTTGTTTATCACTGTAACTGTGTAGTAAAGAAATTAGAAACATGGAGTTATCCTTTCTCTGCAGGAGTGGACAGGCTAACATTAGAACACAATGATTCTTGGTCTTTGCTTACTTTTAATACTGGAGTATTACAGTAAGCATTTAAAAGAAGAACATGATGAAGCCTGTAACTCCAGCTCTTCAGAGGCTGAAGCAGGAGAACTGTGGGCTCTACACTATCCTGGACTATATAGTGAGACCCTGTCTCCAAAACCAAAAACGAAAGAGGAACAATTTAATTTGAAAAGCCAGAAGTGCTAAATATATGGAAAGATGTTTGAAGGAAAATACCATTTAGTTATATGTACTAACCTGTTAAAAACAAAAGTGCTAAACAAAAATTACCTGCTGTGAAAAGTAATTCACTTATATGGCTTTAAAGTGAGATGCTTCTATGTGACTTAAAAAAATTATATTTACCTGAGCATCTTCTGGAGTCTTGAAATTAATTATCTTTCCAAATTCTTTGGCATGGAATACAGATTTCACCCGTTCCTAGAAACAGAACTCATAACTTCATTAAAAAGAAAACTCAGTTGTAGAAACACAACAGAGAAATACCTTTTCCTCCCTTATGGATGCTTACAATGTAAACGAAAGCTACTTCAAGACAAAGCAGCATTCATAAGTTAGTTCACAAAGAGACAACTTCAATGCACTATTTTAGAAAATATAAATATAGAAATATGTCTATTCTACATACCTTTGCTTCAATGCGCAATCGTCTTCCATGGACAATGAATGGTTCTTTGGTGAATTCATCAAAACTGTACTGCCACTCACATGTAAGCTGTCCAAATGTTCCCTTTGTTACAAACAACACACCACTAAGAATAGGGGAAGAAAGAATTCATTTTGAGAATTGACGAACCTCAGTCAATAATGCAAGATTTATGTTTATTTTTTCATTTTTATTTTTTGCAAGCACACGTGGAAGATTCACCTAGATAAAACTGTAAGCCATAATAAAACCTTGTTTTAAAAAAACTTTGTATGTGTGTGGGCTCGAGTGTATGTATGTGCACATGTGTGCACAGAGTCCTAAACTGTTAGAGACCCTGGAACTGGAGCATACCACCTGATGTAGGGCTAGGAACGAAACCTGGATCATCTACAAGGGCAGCAAGTGTCACCTCTAACTACTGAGCCATTTCTACAGCTCTGCAAAAAATCTACGAATTTAGGGCTTGAGGTATGCTTAATGGCAAATTAAGGCCAAAGTATGGCCCTGGGTTTGATTTCCAGTACCACAGGAAAAACAAAACAAACAAACAAACAAAAAAACCCCAAAAAACCAAAATCCAATAAATTTAAAACAATGGAAGTCATAAAGGTGTCTGTTTTCAGACCAGAATAGACTGAAATTAACAACTAGTCAACAGAAAGATGAAAAATGACAACACTCTCCAATACATAGAAATAAAGGCATTTCTAAAACAAAGCATAAGTTACAAGTTTACTCAAATGGTAAAAATAGAATAGACTGAGCACAAAAATATCCTATGTGCAGGGCACAGCTGAGGCAGCACTCGGTGGGACATGCATAGCATGACCTGTACTAGGAAAAACTGAGCTTAAGCCACATAGGTTCTTTCCAAGGAAGAGTCTGCATTTACAGATCCAATTCCAGAAGAGAGTCAACAATGATGTAACAGGTTAGAATAAGACACTTTGTACCCTACATCAGAAAGAGGCTTTCCTAATCACACTGAACAGAATTAACACTGAAAATCCTTGGGGTTTGCTAGGGAAGAATCAAACCTGGTTACTGTCAAAATCAGAGAGAAATGGAAAAAAAAAAACAACAATATCTTAGGCTTCATATTTCAATCAGAAATATGGATTTCATCTATGGCTCTACTTAATTCCTTCAAAGAACGTTCTCCCACAGTTGCTCGTTATAGACGAGACATCAGTTTTAAGTTAATAGCACACACACTTTCAAGAGACTGATTTAAGAAACCGCCCAAAGCTGAGACATAAGCCAATCAGGCTCTTGCTTTAGTCTTCCATTGCAATTATGTATATCAGTCTGAGATGCTAAAAACATCCAGTGGTCCTCCAGTGTACAGGCCTATCTGAAGATGTTGTAGCTGGGAGTATCTTCATGAAATGCTCTATTCACATTGGTATACCCAGTTATGAAAGTAAATCTATGTATTCTTATGAAGAAACAACATTAGGAGGACTGCTGAACTTGTAGAATAACTTGAGTGGTATTCAGAGGGCAAAGTCTACCTGACAGATCAGTTCTGCACCATTTCTGTATACAGTGAAGTGGCTGAAGTAAATAAACTAGCTTACAATTCTGTTCATGAATTATTGTTTTCATCTACAAGCATACACAAAGCTGAACATACAACTGAAGTTTATAGCAATAAGTGTGGCTACATGGAAATGATCAACATGAGAGACTGTCACCCATACCAATTATATTAGAGAAGGAAAAGAAGTTACCGTCTTGTTATCATGAACATATCTGTTTTATTGATCATGACATGTGTAAAATACTTGTATTTTGCAAATCTTCCATTTTCCAAGGCCTATAAAAAAAGAATACAAAACGAAACATTCCTTTTTATAATTCATTAACATACAACAAAAATTGAATTAAATATGCATATATTTTTCCTTGTTTCCTTTGTAAAGGTTTATCGCACTGATTTATTCGAGGTTACACAAATAAAGCAATGGAAATCTTTAAGTACTAGTCTTAGAAGATGTTGGTTCACAGGTTCAAAGTCAATCTAATAGGTATCATTAGACATTTTATCTTTAAATCCTATTACACTTGTACAAAAACATTTAAGTACATATATTTAAACATAGAAATTACCATGGAAGAGACTGGTGCCTATCTGTTTTTCCAAATATGATTTTCTGTGCCAGTCTCTAAAATCATTAAAAAATATGAAGAGTTTCTGGATGAACCCAAAGCCTGCTAACAATGCATAAAGTTCACATTCGAGACTGTTAAAACACTATGAGATTGTCTGCTAACAATCTGTCGCTCCAGAAAATACAAATACAACCATACATACAGTCATTATTCGTTTCAACATCATTTGTTTAGGTTGTACATCAAATACCTTGGCTTTTTAATACATAAAGTAGGCCAGACTGTTTTAAAGCGAGCAATGTATTTGTGACTAATAAACTCAAAAAAAGATACATATTAAGAAACCCACACACCTAGGAATACTTGATTTTTGACAGAGGAGCCAAAACCATACAATGGAAAAAAAGACAGCATCTTCAACAAATGGTGCTGGTCTAACTGGATGTCTACATGTAGAAAAATGCAAATAGATCCATACTTATCACCTTGCATAAAACTAAAGTCCAAGTGGATCAAAGACCTCAATATAAAACCAGACACACTAAATCTGTTAGAAGAAAAAGTGGGGAAGAGCCTTGAACTCATTGCCACAGAAGTTCAACTTCCTGAAGAGAGCACCAACAGCACAGGCTCTAAGAGCAACAATCAATAAATGGGACCTCATGAAACTGAAAAGCTTCTGTAAAGCAAAGGACACTGTCGTCAGAACAAAACGACAGCCTACATACTGGGAAAGGATCTTCACCAACCCTATATCTGACAGGGGGCTAATATCCAAAATATATAGAATTCAAGAAGTTAAAAAGCAACATATCAAGTAATCCAATTAAAAAATGGGGTACAGAGCTAAACAGAGAACTCTCAATAGGGGAATATCGAATGACAGAGAAACATAAAATTTAACATGACTAATGACTAACATTATTAGTCATCAGGGAGATGCCAATCAAAACGACCTGAGATTTCACCTTACGCCCATCAGAATGGCTAAGATCAAAAACTCAAGTGACAACACATGCTGGAGAGGTTGTAGAGAAAGGGGAATGCTCCTACATTGCTGGTGGGAATGTAAACTTGTACAACCACTCTGGAAATCAATCTGGTCCTTTCTCATACAATTAGGAATAGTGCTTTCTCAAGATCCAGCTATACCACTTCTAGGCATATATCCAAAATATGCTCAAGTATACAACAAGGACAATTGCTCAACCATGTTCATAGCAGCTGTATTCGTAATAGCCAGAAGCTGGAAACAACCCAGATGGCCCTCAACTGAAGAATGTATACAGAAAATCTGGTACATTTACACAATGGAATACTACTCAGCAATTAAAAACAAGGAACTCATGAAATTTGCAGGCAAATGGTGGGAACTAGAAAACATCATGTTGAGTGAGGTATCCCAGAAGCAGAAAGACATACAGGGTATATACTCACTTATAAGTGGATATTAGACATATAATATAGGATAACCATACTAAAATCTGTACACTGAAGAAGCAAAGCAAGAAGGTAAGATGCTCAATCCTTATTCAGAAAGGAAAAGAGGATGGACATCAGAAGAGGGTGAAAATGGATAACAGGACAGGAGTCTACCACAGAGGGCCTCTGAAAGACTCTACCCAGCAGGGTATCAAAGCAGATGCTGAGACTCATAGCCAAACTTTGGGCAGAGTGCAGGGAATCTTATGAAAGAAGGGGGAGATATTAAGACCTGGAGAGGACAGGAGCTCCACAAGGAGAGCAACAGAACCAAAAAATCTGGGAACAGGAGTCTTTTCTGAGACTTACACTCCAACCATGGACCTTTCAGGGAGATAACCTAGAACCCCTGCAGAGAGGCAGCCCATGGCAGGTCAGTGTCCAAGTAGGTTCCCTAGTAAGGGGAATAGGGGCTGTCTATGACATGAACTCAGTGGCTGGCTCTTTGATCACCTCCCCCTCAGCGGGGAGCAGCTTTACCAGGCCACAGAGGAAGACAATGCAGCCAGTCCTAATGAGACCTGATAGGCTAGGGTCACAGGGAAGGGGAGGAGGACCTCCCCTATCAGTGAACTTGGGGAGGGGCATGGGAGGAGATGAGGGTAGGATTGGGAAGGGATGAGGGAGGGGGCTACAACTGGGATACAATAAGAATAAACTGCAATTAATAAAAAATAACTAAAAAAATAATTGAGGCATGTTAGGAGCCATGAAGAAATCGAAGCTGTTATGAATTAATAGTGTAGAAAATTGGGTCCCATGAAGCTACATTAAAAAGAAAAGCATTTGGTTTAGAAAAAATTGTATAATTACCTCAATATCTTTGTACAAAGACTAAGAGAAGTAGGGCATGGTATGTCTCTAATCCCAGAACCTGGGAGGCAGAGGCAGGCTGATGGCTGTGAGTTTGAGGCCCACCTGGTCTACAAAGTGAATTCAGGACAGCCAAGGCTACACAGGTAAACCCTGTCTCGAAAAACCAGAAACAGAAAGAGAGGAGAGAGAGAGAGAGAGTGAGAGAGAGAGACACTAAGAGAGTCTTTGCCTTTATTGGCAGAGGAAGGAAAGAAAATGCCAAGCATCAGGGTGAGGCCTAGAAGTAACTGACATGCAAGTTTTTTAGCTTTGAGATTATAACTATTATGGGAAATATCTTTATTCTCTACTTCAGTATGTAGAACAACTGTTAAACACAACGTGAAAAAAGGACATAGCTACAGACTGAGAAGAAATTGGTGAGGATGATTAGATAATTTATAAACTATGTAAGCAAATTTAAAAACAGGTAAAACATAAACTAAAAGAAAGCATAACATTTTACAGAGAAGTGGTAGAAATTATTTTCAGATAGCAGTACATCTGAAAAACCTAGTAATGCATTTCAAAATGAAAGAGAAAAATTCCTTTCATAGCGATAAAGAGAAGAGGAAGCCAGATGGTGGTGGCACACGCCTTTAACCCCAGCATTCAGGGAAGCTAAGACAGGCAGGTCACTGAATTCTAGGCCAGCCTGGTCTACAAAGTAAGTCCAGAACAACTAAGGCTACACAGAGAAACAGTCTCAAAAAAAAAAAAACAAAAAACAAAAAACAAAAAAACCCACCAACATTTATTTATTTATTTATTCTTGATTTATAAATAGTATGTACAACCTATATGATAAAGCTATAAAACTCTGAGATCGAGTTTCACGTTGACCTCAAACTCCCAATTCTCCTGTCTTGGTACTGCAAATGCAGGTGTGTACCACCAAGTAGAGTATATGATGAAAAACTGTGAAAACGAAAATCCTTGCTTTATTCTTGGATGAGTATTATTCCCTTTGAGGACCCCATGTGCCGATTTCCCTTCTCTTACTCATTCTTCCCCTCCCCTTTCTCTGGGCTTGGGGAAAGTACTGGTGAGAGCAGAAGTGGTTCTTTTTTTAACTGTACATTCTCTAATTTGTTTTTATTTGAAATAAATAAGCTTAAAAGTGTTCTCTTTGTGTTTATGGCTAAATTCTGAAACTGTGAATGCAAGTATTGATTTCCTTTACACCACTATTATAAATGTCAGAAGCCTACACAGCCCACTAATAACTTCAAACCACATAGAAGCCAGAGTCCAACTCCCAGTTCCTAGCTTCTGTGTCAGGATCATGGTATTGCAGTGGAAACTTTCATTGCTTTTCACGTACGACCAAGTAAGTCTATGCTGTGCCTGGTTAAACTGAACCAATTTCGGCACTCACAATATTGTGTCTGGTATAAGTAAGTTACACATCTTTTACAAATGTACTTGGTATGACATTCTCTGTAATTAATCCTCAACTTCATATGCAACATTATATGCAAAACAAATGGTGTTATGGTCATAGCATGTTTTGAAACACAATAAACTGTGTCCCTTTCATTACAGTGGATATGTCTTAATAAATAGACAGTTTTTATGCAGCATAACTCTGCAGGGGTTTCATTATCAGCACGTGGAACAGCACAGGCAGCGACTAACCTCTGAAACCAAAACAACAGGAGCAAAGGAGAGATGTGATAGGTTTCCAGCCATGCTACAGTCCAGAATTGTACTTTTGGTCACACTTTTCTGGTTCAATATTTGATTTTACACACACACATTCTATATGAAAATTTAGGTTCTTCTAAACACTACCAAACCCCCTGCAGACTTTGACACGAATGTTACTGTTCATCCAACACAATCTTTCGTTTATATGTGAATAAACTAAGGATCCAGTGATTCACCACCCACAACTGTTACAGCTAAATGACTAGCTTGGGATTAATTGCAAACATGGCTCAGAACACTGGCTTTCTGCACTTTGAATGCATATTTTCCACTATGCCATGGCCCCTTTTACAGTTTCAAACATTCCCTAGTGTACTGTAAAAATATCTTTGATAATCCTGGTGGATGCCAGTTACTGAGGCAGGCTGAAGCAACTCAAGTTAGGTGAGTACTTTAGACCAAAGGTCACAATCCTACATCCTTTTATTCCAAACAGATGCTAGTTTTGAAAATTTCCACTATAATAATTTCAGATACTATGTAAAATAAAAGAATCAGTGCAATAAAGGCTAGGCATCAATATCTCACAGTTTTAGATGAAGTACTTGGCTGAAGTGTCAAGGACTTAACAACAACCAGTACCTTAGGCCATATGTAGTGGAATGCTAAATGAAAGATATTTTTGTCTTATTCATTAATAGTATACATCAATTACTT